GCAGGCAGATCACAAGGTCAAGAGATCGAGATCATCCTGGCCAACATGGTAAAATGCCATCTCTACTAGAAATACAAAAATTAGCTGGGCATGGTGGCATGCACCTGTAGTCCCAGCTGTTTGGGAGGCTGAGGCAGGAGAATCGCTTGAACCTGGGAGGCAGAGGTTGCAGTGAGCCGAGATCACACCACTACACTCCAGTTGGGAGAAAAAAGGAAAGTTTTTTTCCAAAAAAAAAAAAAAAAAAAAGGCCAGATAATAAATACGGTTTTGCAGGCTGCAAGGTTTCTGCTACTTCTTGAGTCCACATAAGCATATGAAAGCAACTATAAACAGCAGGCAGATGAGTGTGGCTGTGTCCCAGTAAAACCTTACTTACAAAACAAATCCTCCAGGTCTCGATGAGTCCATCTCAAACCTGCCAAAGTCCCTTAGAGCCAGCCTCAAACACAGCTCCTTCAACAACGTATGCCTTCTGAGTCCCAGAGACGGTGGGCTCCCTCACAGGAAACCGAGGCAGACATGGGACCCTGATGTCAGGGCAATTGGGGACTTCTTTTTCTTCCTTCTGAGTGTGACTTTCTGTCCAGAACCCCCTGGTCATATCTCTTCCTCAATCTAACTCATGAGAAAGGAAAAAGATACAAGAGAGCCAGAATCTCAGCTGCCACGGATTTGGAAATAACTGTTACATCAGGAATGCACCCCCTTCGCAGATGTCCATTCTCTCCCCGCACACCTCACCTACAGTCTAACACGGATCTATACAGCTAATGTAATAACTTTATCTCCAGCAACAAAAACTTCTGGAGGCCACAATCTCTTCTTACTTATCTCTGAATCCCACGGAGTATACCACAGACAAGCAAAACAAGGTGGAGGTGGCCCCATCCTGTTTTATTCATTTTATCTATCATTTTATCAAATCCCTGTTGCTTTCTGGCACTCAGCATCCTCAGCTGACACCCAGGCTCCAGGCACTGAGGGCTCCTGCTTCTCCCTTGGCCTGTACCTGACTACTTCCTCCTTTCCTGTCAAATGTTCCTTCCTGTCCATTCCCCTAGAGTGTGGCCCAGGTTAGCTCTCATCTGAACATTTCCCAAAGGCTGATATAGAAAAGATAAATACAAAAGTTTATAGACAGAGACGGGGAGATCGTTGCACAAAGGGGCAGGGCCTAGGTGACTGTCTGCTGTATGGGCAGGCAGGGACTGTGCTGATCACACCAGCAACTCTGCTAAAAACCTTGCCCAGGAAGGCACAGCGGCCTGTCTGAAGCACAGAGTCACACCCCCCTACCCCTAAACCCACCGCTTCCTGACAAGCTGTGGGGGTCTCCAGAATCAGGGTTCATTCTACTCTGGGATGTGGGGCAAGGCCATTTTTAAAGGGACCAAATCCAGAATCATGTAAGGACCATCTTTGGACTTTCTCAGAAAGCCTTTCTGATCTCTAGGCCAATCTGAAATTCTGACAATCCACACACTCCGCAGCATTCTAGGATCCTTTAGTGACAGCTATTTTTCATGTAAGTAACATTCCCAACCTCCTTCAGGATGTTAGGAATACACAGAGTACAACACAGAAGGGCTAAGAGTCATGCTTCAAAATGACAAAACAGGATGTGATTAAGACAATTTTGCCACATATTTCAAAATAAAAAGAAACCTGTCTTTCCTCCTTGATTCTGCAGAATGAAGAAGGAAATAGGGTGTAACCGTGAAGACTGGCAATGATTTTTAAATATGAAAATTTGGCCGGGTGCAGTGACTCACTCCTGTAATTCCAGTATTTTAGAAGGCCAACATGGGTGGATCACTTGACCCTAGGAATTCGAGACCAGCCAGGGCAACATGGTAAAACCCTGACTCAACAGAAAAGGAAAAAATCAGCTAGGTATGGTGGCATGCAACTGTAGTCCCAGCTCCCTGGGAGGCTGATGTGGGAGGATCACCTGAGCCCAGGAGGTTGAGACTGCAGTGAGCCATGATCCCACTACTGCACTCCAGCCTGGGTGACAGAGTCAGACTCTGTCACAAAAAAAAAAGTGAATTTAACATGTACCATAATGTACCAGAAGATGGCGCAATTTATTTTTTGGAGGATTTTAAAATAACAAGTCAGGGACATACTACTTGGAAAAATATTTCTCAAGTATACATATAAATTCAAGTGACTTTATTCTGCTTAATTCTATCACTTTATTCACCTAGCAAATATTCATTGAGCATCTACTATGTAAAGGAAATGCATGAGATGGAAGAAATGAAAACTGGCTGGGTATGGTGGCTCATGCCTGTAATGCCACCAATTTAGGACGCTGAGGTGGGCATATCGCTTGAGCCCAGGAGTTAAAGATCAGCTTGGACAACATAGTGAAGTCCTGTCTCTACAAAAAGTACAAAAATTAGCCAAGTTTGTAACATGACTGTAGTCCCAGCTACTCAGGAGGCTGAGGTGAGAGGATCACTTGAGCCCAGGAGGCGGAGGTTGCTGTGAGCTGAGATCACACCACAGCACTCCAGCCTGGGTAACAGGGTGAAACCTAGAAAGAGAAAAGGAAAGGGAAGGGAGGGGAGGGGAGGGGAGGGCAGGGGAGGGGAGGGGAACTGGCTTCTGAAACCCTGAGAGGAAGGAAGGAAGGAAAGAAGGGAAGGAGGGAGGGAGGGAGGGAGGGAAGGGGAGGGGAGGGAGAGAAGGAGGGAAGGAAGAGAAGGAGGGAAGGAAGGGAAGGAGGGAAGGAAGAGAAGGAGGGAAGGAAGGGAGGGAGAGAAAGAGGAGAGAGAAAGAAAGAAAGAGAGAGGGAAGGAGGGAGGGAGGAAGAGAGAGAAAGAAATGAAAACTGGCTTCCGATTGCAGGAGTTTATCAGCAGGGAAGAGAAAATACTATCAACCTTTATATAAACTTGCCCAAATAGCTTCGGACAGGCACAAGTGGAGACAAGAAGAGAATGAGATAGGGAGACACAGAGGCCTGGGGTACTGGGGAGGGGAAGCGGGAGGGCTCCAGAAAATGCTGCCTGAATCTCACACAGCCAAGTGTCCTGTACTGAACGTAAAGATGAGTAAGATCCAGTTCTACTCGAAGTCTTTCAACTTGGGGGAGAAATGAAATTATTTCTAGCTAGTACATATGGATTCATTTAATACTCTCAGTATAAACTAGGTACCATCAGTAACCCCATTCAAAGGTCAGGTCACATCCTTCATAAGAGGCTGCACCCCTGAACTCTATACTTGACTGCCTCTCAGCAAGTGGAACATGATTAGCAAATAGCTGATAATAAAACAAGGGAGCATAAAATAATTACTGAAGAGAGGGAAGGGGAGGAAGCCCTTAGCGAGTTGCTCGGCACTTGGTATGCCAGCCCTGTTTTCTCCAGCCTTCATTTCCACCACTTCCTCTACCCCCACCAGCCTCCTGTTGGGCCTCAAACTCAAGTCATGGCAGGAGGAGGAAGGAGGGGTGCTCCAGACAGCATTTTTGGCTGCCAATGACTGAAAGTACCAGGAATTACTATTAGCTCAATTAAAAAATAATCACTAAGGCTGGGCATGGTGGCTCACACCTGTAATCCCAGCACTTTGGGAGGCTGAGGTGGGCAGATCCCTTGAGGTCAGGAGCTCAAGATCAGCCTGGCCAACATGGTGAAACCCTACATCTACTAAAACTCCAAAATTAGCCAAGCGTGCTGGCTTGCACCTGTAATCCCAGCTACTTGGGAGGCTGAGGCACCAGAATCACTTGAACCCAGGAAGCGGAGGTTGCTGGGTTCGCGCCACTGACTGCACTCCAGCCTGGGCGACAAGAGTAAAACTCCGTCTCAAAAAAAAAAAAAAAAATCACTACAGGGAATGTCCCCAGGCACCAGAAACTCCAAAATGGACACCAGGACTTCTAGGGAATGGAGGAGGATGGGGGAGCATTGTCCACATGGAATTATGACCTGGGTATGCAGCTGTCACATGTGAGACTTCGGAGAGGTCTCAGGGAAGTTATAGAGGAAGAAAGGACCAGAAATCCAGAGCAAGGGTGGCCAGAGGTCACCACAACCCTGGGTGGTGCCAAGGTCAGAGGTCACCACAATCCTGGGTGGTGCCAAGGTCAGAGGCCACCAGGACTGGGGAGAGGCCATGGAAGCGAGATGAGAGGACTGCCCAGGTAACCGCAGCAGAGGTGGGAGACAACTGGGGGGTGACAGAACAAGAATGATCCACGGATTTAAAGTCCACATAGGAGTCAGGATGAAGACAAGAAATTCTTGCATTTCTAGCAATGCCTAAACACAACAGGTGTCACGCCAAGCACACCAGAAGTATGACAAACTGCAAAGGAATATGATGGCATTTAAGATTCAGAACCAAGGCAGAGCTGAGTGATAGGCAGGGGATTTTGTTTAAGAAAACTGGCCAGGTACGGTGGCTCATGCCTGTAATCCCAACACTTCGGGAGGCCAAGGTGGGCGGATCACCAGGTCAAGAGATAGAGACCATCATGGCCAACATGGTGAAACCCCATCTTTACTAAAAATACAAAAATTAGCCAGGCATGATGGCACACACCTGTGGTCCCAGCTACTTGGGAGGCTGAAGCAGGAGAATCACTGGAACCCAGGAGGTGGAGGTTGCAGTGAGCCGAGATCGCAACACTGCACTCCAGCCTGGCGACAGAGTAAGACTCTGTCTCAAAAAGAAAAGAAAAAGAAAAGTGGCACATAGAGGAAAAATCTACTAGACAGAGATTTGAGCAGGGACTTGCCTGGTTTTCTAAAATGACATGTCCTAAGAATCAAGAGCTGAGGTCCCAGCACCCAACTCCGGAGGTCTTCAGCTGTCTGAATTCTGAACCTACTGAGTCATTGATCCCTCCAGGCCTCAGTCTCTTTCGCAAGCATCAAATGTGTTCATATATGTCAAGTTCTTAGACACACGTGTAGGACAACGTATGCTCTATAAACCCAATCCTACCCAACCCAACCTGGAAGGAAATGGTGCCTTACTTGTGACTTTCAGGTTTCTCTGCTTTGGCTTCTGTGGTCGCCATTCCCTCAACTGAGGCAGGACCCTAAGGAAAAAAAAATCACACAGAATGGAGTGAATTCACCCAATAGAAACCAAGGTCGTGCAGAGCCCCGCTAACATGTAGAAAGTCAGTGCAATGAAGTGGAATTCCTTAAACGCCTGATAAAAGTATGTGAGAAATGAGAGAGAGAGAGAGAAAGGAGTTTGTGTGTGTGTTTACAGCGTTGCTAATTTCGAGAGGAGGTGGCGAAAATGTGCCAAAAGCCTAAATAGACAGGAACCTCACACCTTCAGAGAATATGTTCCCTTCATGCCTGTCATCCCAGCACTTTGGGAGGCCAAGGTGGGTGGATCCCCCAAGGTCGTGAGTTCAAGACCAGCCTGGCCAATATAGTGAAACCCTGTCTCTACTAAAAATACAAAAATTGGCCGGGTGTGGTGGCAGGTGCCTGTAATCCCAGCTACTCTCTGGAGGCTGAGGCAGGAGAATCACTTGAACAAGGGAGGCAGAGGTTTCAGTGAGCCAAGATCACACCATGGCACTCCAGCCTGGGTGACAGAGCAAGACTCCATGTCAAAGCAAAACAAACAAACAAACCTGTCCCTTATTCCCAGTTGCCCAGCCCAGCAAATCAAGACTCACCGACCCAACACACCATACCTCTCTGCCTCACCCTTCTAGAATGTCAGATGCTCCTCTCCAGCTTTCAAGGACTGCTGGGGGAATGGGAGGAATTGGGTCAAAGGTGGGGTGAAGGCTCCAGAGGGAGCAGTGGGGACAGGGAACCATTACTGGAGGGAGAGGGACTGAGGCTGACCTGAGTCAGCCCATGGCCCCACTTCCACTGCAAAGCCCCGTGAAGGAAAAGGTGGCCGGCATACCTGCAGTTATTCTGGTAGGGCTCAGTAGTCAGAAACCCCCGAGAGCGCTTCCCAGTGTGGAGAAGGGCAGGGTTTTGTCAGAGCTCTTTGAAGGAGGGTGAGACTCCCGTTTTGAACTCAGTTAATAAAGCAATATCCGAATGCCCTGTAACGGCCAGGCCCCCAACTCCCTGGAAAGCCTTGCAGAGCAGGCAGGATTCGTGCTGAGAGGAGGAGAGTGAAGCGCTGGGTCTACGGGATGGTCCAAGGCTCGTAAAGACATCGGTAGGAGTCTGTGAAGTGTGGCCGCTTTCCTGAACTCAGTCTGGTTGTTTTACCACGTGGTTCTCACCCTCAGAACTCACCAGTCTCTTATCACCAAGATAAAACCCAAAAGGTCCCTTTTTGGAGAATGGGATTTATTATTGCTATTAATATAGTGACCATTTCCTGTAAATTTTGAATGCCAGGGAGAATTACAGTTGTGGGGTGTGGAGCAAACATGTTCCCTCCAATTGCTGCCTTTAATCTCTCCACCGGGCTTTCATTCCCCCTTACTGTTTATACAACACATCTTTAGAAATCCCAGCCCATTACAGTCCAGCTAAGAAGGGAATAAGGTGTGGTGGTGTTGTTTTTATTTTTTTATTCAACACTTTATTTTTCATTTTTTAGAAACAGGGGGCCATGCATGGTGGCCCACACCCCTAATCCCAGCACTTTGGGAGGCCGAGGTGGGCAGATCACTTGAGGTCAGGCGTTCAAGACCAGCCTGGCCAACATGGTGAAACCCCATCTCTACTAAAAATGGAAAAAGTAGCTGGGCATGGTGGCACATGATTGTAATCCGAGCTACTCAGGGGGCTGAGGCAGGAGAACCTCTTGAACCCAGGAGATGAAAGTTGCAGTGAGTTGAGATCATGCCACTGCACTGTAGCCTGGGTGAAAGAGCAAGACACCAACAAAAGAGAGAAAGAGAAAGAGAAAGAGAAAGAGAGGAAGGAAGGAAGGAAGGAAGGAAGGAAGGAAGGAAGGAAGGAAGGAAGGAAGGAAGGAAGGAAGGAAGGAAAAAGGGAGGGAGGAAGGGAGGGAGGGAGAAAGAGAGAGAGAGAAAGAGAGAGTCTCACTCTGCTGCCCAGGCTGGAGTGCAATGGTGCAATCACGGCTCACTGCAGCCTCAAAATACTGGGCTCAAGTGATCACCCCACCTCATCCTCCGAGTAGCTGAAATTACAGGCATGAGTCACAACACCAGTGGGAAGGGAATGAGTTTAAAAGAGGCACCAGGCCTTGGCCCCCGGTTCACCAGTGGCCAAATGAAGGACAGTGTAGGGATGAAGCTTCATGAACAGGCAGTGCCAGCTCTCCCTACGTGTGTGGAGTGAGGAGAGAGGAGTCGGGGCACTGCTTCTCATCAAAACGCCCTACAGGAGGATCCTGGGGCATTGGCGTGTAGACATGATTTCAGACATTCTTCAGGATGCATTAAGCAGACCTAGCCATAGCCCAGCTTCCACAGTAGTCCGGCTTCCAGGAAACATAACCGTCAATGGCACTATCAACAGCCCCCTGCAGCTGGATGGCCCTGGCTGCTGTCTCCGGGGTTCCACCTCTCCCAGCCATGCCACGGTCATGCAGTCGGGGGAGGGGGCACCAGTCCACAGCCTCCTTATGGAGCTCCTACTTCTCCACTGAGCGAAGAAGTAAGATTTAGGGTCAGGCAGAGAGTCTGGGTCCCCAGAGCCAGTTTCTGCTGGGCAGACACATTCGCCATAAGAGCAGCTCCTCTGAAGAACGTGCCCTCTTACAACCTCCTCCAAAACTCTGTCCCCTCCGGGCTGCTTGTCTTTAGGGGTAGGGAGCTAACGGGAGGAAGCAGCCCCCCGGTAAACTGGGCAGGGAAAAAGTTAGAGGTGAGCTCCCTTGGGGCAGCAGCTGAGAGCATCCCAGTGAATCAGAGACTGCTGAGTGGCCCCTGGAAAGCTCTCCAGAGAATCCAACCCCTGTTTACAGAAAAGGAAACAAAGCCAAAGCCAGAACTTCCTGTCTGGCCTTGCAGAGTAAGGGTGTTTCTCTCTAGGCTTGGTTGCTTTTCTTTACTCTGAACTAGAGAAACCAAGGCTACATCAGCAGAGAAATCAGTTCAGTTCTCTTGTCTAGTCATTGCCTTCTGCTGGCTCCTTCCTAGTGGGCTCCAGGGCCAGCCTCACTCCCTCTTTCCCCTTGCAATCTTAGTACCTGTAGCATGCCCCATCCTAGGTGTGAGTGTCCCAAGAGCTAACTTCTCTCCACGTTTCAGCCCTGAACTCAGGGAGGCTCGATTTAACCAACCACATAGGCAGAGAAAGTTGCGGATGTCTGCAATGCTCCAGTTAAAAAGTTCTCTACTAAATACCTTAGGTCTCATGCAGGTTTATCTAGGGTATGGCAACCCAGGGCAGGTCTGCCTGGCATGTCAGGGCTTACCTGGGAAGTCCCAGCATAATTACCAGACGTGTGTTTCACTAGCCAAAGGATCTGGACGTGGAGGATAAATTATATGGTCACCCCATCCACCCATTGAAAGGTCAAAGACAGGAGTTGATAAAAGAAGAAAACACAGTCTCCCCTTACCCTAGTTGGATCCCCACAGCATGAGAACCAGAAGCTGACACACCCTTGTGGTCACCCACATAGACTTTTGTTCCCACAGGCCACCAGGCTGCATGTGTTTTCCCCAACCTTCAGAGGTTGGTAGAAGTTCGGCCCACTAGAATTTAGGCTAGAAAAGGGGGTGAGAGAAGAGATTCATGGGTCCAGTGTCAACTGCAATATACTCAATTCCAGATCACAACTTAAGGCCCAGATGAAAGGGCTTCTCAGTACCCCTTTCTAGCCACTGGAAGAAATACCTTCAGGAGTGTCTCCCACCCAGGCACCCAGGCTGGAAAGCTGAGGACGCGGCCATGAGGATTTCCAAGCACTGCCTTTTGTTCAGTTTAACTGGCATCTTGTTTTAATCTATAAGTTATTCATAGACTTTGAGGAAATATTTCTGACAATTGCTTTTAAATTGTTTTTACTGAATTACGATTATTGTGCATCCTGGACGTTTTTCCTCCAACAGACAATATGTATAGTTTATGTCCTAATGAGACATATCTGATTTATGGACTTCCAGCCTCTTCATTATCCCAGATCTAACCCCAGTGCAGCCTTCCACTTCCTGTTTCCTGCTTGGCTGAAAAAAGCCAGCTTGCCAAACCCAGCACTGAATGAGCCCCCCTTCCAGCCACTGTCTACTCAGGAAAGTTGCAATTTGGTTCAGCCCTCTCCCACCTTACCCCACCAAAAACATTGGCTATAACTTCAATAACAGGGTGAATACTGGTGGGTGCTTTCAGTAACATAATTAGAAATGGCATTACATGTCTATAAGATACCAGGAAGTGCTAAGCATTACATATGGTAATGATTTAAAGAATCTGAAATCCTCTGCAAAATAAATGAGACCAACAGGCTGTTCTCTGGCCCCTCATTACGTGACTGCAGACTTAGAATCAGGCTGGCATAAGAACATCTCTAATGACATGTATGATCTGTAGTGGGACGGGAAAGACCCAAGACACTGAGAAGCTGGCGGTCAGCAAGCCAAGAGTTAACTCCAACTCAAGGTGGCCAAGTAAAGGTGCAACCAGGGCCTGGAAGGTTTATTTACTTCAGCTAGGAAGGACAGGGCAGAAAAGAATGAATACAGGTCGGATGTGGTGGCTCATGTCCATAATTCCAGCACTTTGAGAGGCCAAAGTAAGGCAGGTGGATCGCTTGAGCCCAGGAGGTCGAAACCAGCCTGGGCAACATAGTGAAACCCTGTCTCCACAAAAATTAGCTGGGTGGGGTGGCGTGCTTGTGTTGTCCCAACTCTTTGGGGGCTGAGGTAGAAGGGGATCATTTGAGCCTGACAGGTGGAGGTTGCACTGAGCCGAGATGGCGCCACTGCCCTCCAGCCTGGGTGATGGAGTCAGACTCTGTCTCTCGGGGCGGGGAGGGGGAGAAAGAGAAGAAAAGAAAGCCAGCCAGCCCAGCATGCCCCTAGGGGTTCTTAATGAGTGATAATTAGGAATCAGCCTAGAGAACTTTTGGTGAGGAAAGGACCCTTTAGACAGGAATAACAGTAAAAACAAAGGCAAGAGGACAGGAAACCCATCCGACAGCCAAGAGGGAAAGAAGCACTCAAATATGGAGAGATCAACAGCTCAGCCTGGGCAAATAAAACTGGAAGGGCCCCAGGTGGTTACACGTCCCAGTAAAAATTTTGAGCATCAGCCTGAGGGGGCTGGGGTCTCTCCTATTGCCAGGGTCCTAACTAGCAACAAGTAGGGGAGCCCCAGGTGATCACTGAAAAAGTGATCTAACTTACTAAAAAATAAAAAAACTGAAGATATTCCTATGTTTTTTTTTTTTAGCTTATCCATTAAACTAAAATCAGATTGGTAAGTTACTTACGTAAATAACTTAGTATGTAAACATTTAAAATACATTTTTGAATGAACATATTTCAAAACCAAATGTGTGTGTGAGACAGAGAAGAGGAGGAGGAGGAGGAAGAATAACGTTTGGGGTTTATCTTTCGGGAGGAGGAAAACCTAGAAGTTTCATTTTCTGTTATATATTTGATTTTTGTTTTGGGTTTTTGTTTTGTTTTCTAAAATGACATTTTAAGCAGAGAATGACAGAGATTTGCATGTTAGCTCTACACCAAGAAGTCCAGAATAAGCTGCTATGCCATAACAATTATTTTCAGCTGAAGGCATTTGAAATCCCATATCTGCCTAAAAGCAGAGCCTCCTAAAACCTAAACTCTATTGTCACAGGAGCAACTCTAATCTCTTCTAGGAAGATTCACTGCACACTACCACACTCAGATATTGTCACAAACTATCCTGTCTCCAGATGACTGGAACGTGGCATGAGAACAAAGCTGTCGTTTCTAGCTGGGATAATAGGGAAGGACAACGTGTCGTCTAGCAGGCAGAGGGCTGAGGTTACACATTTCACTGGAGGCACCATGGTTCCTGCACAAGTTACCTGTGTTCATCACCTTGTGGGAAAATGAGGTCTGGGGAGTCATCACTCAGCAATTTGAAACAGAAGGGAAGGATGGCAGTGGGAAACAGGGCAGGTGGGAACGACGGGTCAAGGGCAAACACAGGAATCAACAATTAAGCCCTGGACTAAAAGCACAGATTGACACCAAGGGGAGAGAATGTGCAGGAGAAAGTCCTCACCACAGAGCACTAATTTTACAAGTAGACTCTAATCAGACTGCAGCACTGGGACATTTGAATGGAGGTCTGGATAGCATCAGTGCCCTTTGTCCTTAGAAATAAGAGCTAATCCCTTTTCCAAAGCCTCGCACAACCCCTGGGCTGGTGAATTTTGACCCTGGTGTTGAGGAAGAAGATGTCAGACTGGGCTTATTTTAGAAAACATTTCTCCTAACATTGTACAGCAATGTTCTCCAACTTCTATAAGGAAATGAAATTCAGTTTCTCAACAAGTCTTCTCCCACCTCTCTAGAAAGCCATGCTCTTCACTCCCCTCCCCACAAAACAGGAGAGTTTTACTGGTTTTGCCTGGGTTGGAAATTCTACCTCCCAAGGAAATCCTTAAACCTGGCTTTCTGGCTCCCCTACCTATTACCAGCCAGATCAATCTTACAAAAAAAAAACTGAAGATTTTTTTAGTTTTAACCCATTAAACTCAAATCAGATTGGTAAGTTACGTGCATAAATAGCTTAGTGTGCAAACATTTAAAATACTTTTGAATGAATGTATTTCAGAAGCAAATGTGTGTGAGAGAGGAGGAGGAAGAATGTTTGGTGTTTATCTTTAGGGAGGAGGAAAACCTAGAAGTTTCATTTTCTGTTATATATTTTTCTTTTTTACAATAAGTTTGCATTAATTTTATGATCAATAAAGATAAGAAAAGTCCGCTTCGACAAAAAAAAACCCATGTAAAGAAACACTAATTTATCCTTCTTAAATGAAACGTGTGTTGTATTGGATCGAGCATAGAAAGTTAGCACCAAGACAAAAGTATGCCAGATTGCAGGGTCATTTATTATGCCGGCGACCACAGAGGACCCACGTCTCTCCAACCTGTGGCGTCAAAAGGAGGGTGCCAAGACTTTTTACACCTGAAAAACCACCTTGGGAGTGGGGGTGAGGAGCGGGGATGGGGATGAAAAGGTTTCTGACATTCCAAGGGCTAGGGGATTCTGTGATTCACCTCCTGGGTGGAGACAAGGGTGGGGGTCTCCCGACAAAAGTCCAGGGGACTTTTGTCATTCCGTTTGTTACTTCAGTGGTTTACAGAAGTCAAGATATACATTTGTTTACACATTGTCTGGGTGGTGATAGAAGTCACAGATTTTAGCAGTTACTGATAAGAAAAGGTAAGCAGCTTCGCATAGTTTATAGAACAAACTAGCAGTTCTATTTACAGAGGCCAAGGCCAGTAGTTATAGTGAGGAGAATGGGGCAGCCATTGCAACTTATTTAAAAAACAGTTTTGCATTTTATAAAAATGGAGTTACTCAGGTTCTGGCTCTAGGCCAGCACAATATCACATATGAACGCCCACCAACGCTGAAAGTATTGGAACCAAGAATATAATCTGTGCTCAATAAACCTGTGCTGGATTAAAATGATCTGCGGTGATGAGTTTTACGCAGAGGACCAGAAGATCAGAGTGGCCTCTGAAGAAAGAAATAATGTAAAAGTGGCTGAGAAGTGGGGACAGCTTGGGCCAAAATGCAGATAGGCAAACAAATCGAAAGGCGGGAGAGACAATGGCCCGCACTGGGAAAGGCTCAGCCAGGCTTTAGAAACCCAAATTAAGACATTCCTTCTATTCAAGGAAGTCACAACGTTTTTTAAAGACCCAAGGTTACAGCCAATGAATGGAACCAGAGGTCTTTTTAACCCGGAAGACCCCAGTTAGGTGGAAAATGAGCCTAGGAAAGGCCCGGCGGGGACAGTGGGGAAAGGAAACGGGGATGAAGAACCAGAGACGGAAGGGCAGAGAGAGGTCACCCAAGCGCCTGGAAACTGCCTCCACGGCCTTCACGGGAAACCGCCCCTATCTACTCCGGATTTTAGACTGTATTTCTCTGAAACTGACCGTCAGAGGAGAGCGGCTGGAAGCGGACAGACGTCTGCAGCAGGAGGCGTTCCAGGCGTTCCAGGCCGGGGCAGGAAGGCTGCAGGTCACCCACGACCCCGAGTCACCTCGCCAAGCCCTGAATTGGGACCGGAGATGAGACGCGCTGACCGCCGGCGGGCTACGGAGTTCCTCGCTTCTCTGGGCCCTGCCAGGTCCAAGGACAGGTTGCCATATAAACGAATCGTAAAGGGACCCCCTTCCCCATGCAAATTATGTCACATAAGGCGTATGATCGTAAACTCTGCGGAGCTGCCAGATAACTCGATGCCAATTATTTTTATGCAGTAACATTTGATTAAATGTTGACTACATGGACACTTGACTCCATCTGCACTCGGAGGGCTCCTGTAACAATCAGCCTCCAAATGAAATTTTATCCCCTCTCCCTTGAAAAGGCGGTGGGGACAAAACATCACTTCGTCACTTTAGTCACCAACTCCTTCCTCTCCGCCCGGGGCTCCCAGCACAGTTCTCGGGGTTCCCGCACTCCCCGCCCGGGTTTGGGCTGCGAGAAGCGCCCGCCTGCGCCCTGCGGGACCTGACCCTGCCGGCTCTGCCTCCCTCGCAGCGCCTCGGCCGGGTGGGCTCCCCGCCCGGGGCCCCGCGCTCTCGGTCGCCGGGACGTGGGAGAGGTGGGCGCTGGGTGGACCCAATGAAGCCCGCGCGCTTCCCCAGACGCCCACCTGGCCCCTCACACACCGTTTCCCGGAACATCCCGGCCGCGCGCCCTCCTCCCCGCGCAGCTGCTCCGGGCCCGCTCTCGGCACCTTCTCTGCAGCTGGCAGCCCGGTGCACCTGAGCCTCCGTCACCGCCCCTACAGGTAAACCGGCACGTCGCCGAGGGAGGGGACTGGCCAGCCTCCCGGGAAGAGAGAACGGCAGAAGCCGGGCCGCGGGCGACTCACCGCTCGGCCTGCGCAGGGACCCTACACCCGCTGCGCCATCCTCGCACGGCGACACCGGCGACAAACGCTCTGCTCCAGGGCCCGAGGAAGGGGCAGCTCCCGCGAGGCTCGCGGACGGCGGGGCGAGGGTCTGTGCCCGGGACCACTCCAATGAGGGAACCACTCGCAAGGTGAATCTCAAATGGAGTCTGCGAGTGCCCCGCCCGGGGGTCGCCGCTTGGCTCCGGCCCCGCCTGCCCTGGGCGCACTGACTCAGCTGACCGCACCCTGGGCCAGCCCGCGGACAGGCCCCGCCTCCCCCGTCCCCCTCCCGTCCCGGGCCGGGAAGGTGCCGGGAGCCTCCGCCCGCTATTGCTTCTCCCCTCCGTGGAACAGCTGGGCAATTGTCAAGAACCGACAGCCAGTTCTGTTACTCATTAAACCGCCCCTACTACAGAGGAAATCTTACGCACGCGGTCCTAGCATGGGGCGGAGGAACCCGGGCTAGAGGAGGCTCTGGGACTAACCCAAGGTCACGCCGCCAGGCAGGAGCCCGGGTCGGTGTGTCTGGAGGTGGCCCCGCGGCTGGGGCCAGCGGAGAGAAACGATGGCGTGGAACCAGCCCTGGGCCGGTGGTCGGGGATGTGGGGCTGGCACTGGCACTGTGTGTACCCTGATCTCTCTGAACGGCCTCAGCTTCCCCGTTGGGGAGTTTCTCTGGGACCTTCCTGATCAGCGAGTTCCCCAGCCAGGAGCTCGCCCGGGGAGGAGAAGTGACTCATTCATTTAGAGTCGCAGCTGAGTGGCAGAACTGCCCCTCACCGGCGCTGCACTCTGCCCCCAGCGGCCAGTCCTGCCTGCCGCCGGCCGGTGCCCACTCTCCGGCTCAGGTGTCTTCCCTGGTCCTCTCCCTGCTTCTGGAAAAGCTCAGTCTGATGAGAGCACCGAGCCTGGGAAAGAAGAAGACCTAGCAGCCCGGGGCAGCCCAACACGCCTGTAACTTGCTTTCTAAAGGGAACTCCCTTCCTGAGAAAACGTGGGGTTGGGCCGGGCGCAGTGGTTCACGCCCAGCAGCCCAGCACTTTGGAAGGCCGAGGCAGGTGGATCACCTGAGGTCAGGAGTTGGAGACCAGTCTAACCAACATGGTGAAAACCCGTCTTTACTAAAAATACAAAAAGTAGCCGGGCGTGGTGGCGCATGCCTGTTATCCCAGCTACTAGGTAGACTGAGGCAGGAGAATCGGTTGAACGTAGGAGGCGAGGCGGTGGTTGCAGTGAGCTGAGATCGTGCCATTGCACTGCAGACTGAGCAACAAGAGCAAACTCGATCTCAAGAAAGGGGAGGGGAAGGGAGGGGAGGGGTTCACAGCTGTGGCCTGTGAGCCCCCATGCTCCAGAGATTACGTTCTCTTTCTTTTCCAAAAGACTGCACGTGAGCCGGGGAATCAAACCAATACCAAAGACTTCCTGTGTCAAAAGACAAAATTATAACCAATTTAATGTAAAGATCTCTGTTGGCTTTATTTTTGGTTCTAGGCTGCAGCAGTGCTTCATTACCTAGAACAGAATAAGTGTTCCAATAAGCTGAGCAGAGGGGCTTGGCTTAACAGACAGAAAAGGCTGAAGGAGGCAAAAATGAAGATCAAAAAGCAGATTGGTGTTTTCAAAATTACTCTAGTTGTAAGGTGGGGACAAGGAGATGAATAATAGAGAATAACTGATTGTCAGTCTCAGGTTACTTCAGCCTACCTATCTTTGTGTGTATGAATTAAAGCAGATGGACCTTTATTATCATGTGGACTTGTTAATGGTGGAGGGTGTCCAGGTTCTTGGCATCTTGAACAAAGAATTGGACGAAATGCACAAACAATGCAAGGAAGGAACGAAGGCTTTTATAGAAAATGAAAGTACACTCCACAGTGTGGGAGCGGGCCTCAGCATAGGAGCTCAAAGGCCCCGTTACAGAGTTTTTGGGAGTTTAAATATCCTCTACTTGGTGTACTTGGCCTATTCCCTGTGGAAAGGCTGTTTCCTGTCGGAGCTAAAGTGTGAATGGCCTTATTTCCCTGCCTCCAAACCCTATTTTCCTACCTCAGACTGAAGACTGGAACTGGCCTGGTTGGGAAATTGGCTATTCTCTGTCTCTCTCTTGATTTTCTCAGAAGGTAGATTAACAACTTAGTTTTAGTTTTGTTACCAGAAAATGGTCCCAATCCAGGCCTCAAGGGAATGTTCTTGGGTCTCGTGCAAGAAAGAATTCGGGGCCACTGTGAGTCTACAGAGTTTATTAAGAAAGTAAAGGAATAAGCCGGACGCGGCGGCTCAGCCTGTAATCCCAGCACTTTGGGAGGTTGAGGCAGGCGGATCACGAGATCAGGAGTTGGAGACCAGCCTGGCTAACATGATGAAACCCCGTCTCTACTAAAAATACAAAAAATTAGCCAGCTGTGGTGGCATGCACTTGTAATACCAGCTACTCGGGAGACCGAGGCAGGAGAATCGCTTGATCCTGGGAGGCAGAGGTTGCAGTGAGCTGAGATTGCACCACTGCACTCCAGCCTGGGCGACAGAGCAAGACCGTCTCAAAAATAAATAATGCAATCAAAGAACGGTGACTCCATAGGCAGGGCAACAGGTTGGCTATTTTTATGGTTATTTTTTGATCATGTGCTAAATAAGGGTGGATTATTCATGAGTTTTCCAGGAATTTTTCCTTTTGGAACATATAGGGTAACTTCTAGACTTTGCCATGGTATTTATAAACTGTCATGACACTGGTAGGAGTAGTCTTTGTAACCTGTATCTTGTGATACCAGCCCTGCCAACCTCCTGTTTCATCCTGTTGAGGGAATGTGTTCTCTTTCCGGGTCCACAAGGGGGCGTAGTTTCTAGGGCAAGAACTTCCCAGCGCCATGTTTTCTCCCCCTCCCATCCACCTTCATCCTGGAAATTTAATGGTTTTTGTTTGAATTTTGTGGGGCGGGAAGAAACTGAGAGTCAATCACCCCAGCTGAAGTTTAAAGGAATTCCTTTCATTAACCAGAGGAACTTGGGGAAGTGGGAGTTTCTCCCAGGATAAATTCCCCTGCTCCTTCAGCCACACCGGATTTCCAGCTCTCTGGAGTCCCCTCCCACATCGTGGGAGCTCTCTGGAGTCCCCGCCCACATCGTGGGAGCTCTCTGGAGTCCCCGCCCACATCGTGGGAGCTCTCTGGAGTCCCCGCCCACATCGTGGGAGCTCTCTGGATTTCCCCTTTTGGGTTCTGCTTCCACACACTCTCTGGTGGAAGCTTTCTCTCTTTTCCTGTTTCTCTCTCTCTCTAAATAAATCACTTTTCTGCAAACACCCATTACATTAGTATAAATAACATTTATATGAAACAGAACTGTATCTTTACAAAACAGAAAACGTGTGAGGACTGGCATAATTCTACATTTTTGCAAATTCTTTCACTATCCAGCTTAATAGAGACAGTTGAATGCTCACGTCTTCTGCATTTAATCTGAAATAGAATCATATGTCATATAGTACAATAAACACTGCTGAATATAAGGAGAAAATAAGAGAAAAAATAAATACGGGTTTTAAATTATAATGAAAATAGTTCCGACTAAGCAGACTCCTGAACAGGTCTTGCGATTCCCCAGCACCTTTGGGAACATGCTCTGAGAACCACTGTTTTATCTGAAAAGTGGATCTGAATTCTGAGGGGCTGTAGGTAGCTCACACTCCAGGTGGCACCTGGTGTCTTACTCACGGTCGTCATCATGTATAGATTAGACTCTCACCAGGGCATTTGGACTGGGATGGCAGAGACCCAAGTGTCAGGTTTGATGAATTTTGACTCCTTTTTCTCAGAAGTGGAAGAAGACCTAGCAAGGGTGTTGTGGTTCCCACTTGACTTAAGAGATGGGGAGCTTGGAACTGTAGCCTGCCACCACATAACTGATGACGTGCCTTCTCAGGGTCCATGCTGAGTATTGCTGTGTATGGTGTGAGGTATCGATCTAAGTTTCTCTTTTTCTCTATCCAAATGGCTGTATACTTGTCCCATGTAAAAACTTTATTTTCCCACTGACATGAGATGCCACCCTTATTATACACGTATTTACCTATGTCTGTAGTTGTACTATTTTTTCTTTTCCACTGATCTGTTTGTCATTCATGTGCCAGAGCCGCACTGTTTTATTATAAAGGCTTTTTAGTAAGTTTTCATTTTTAGTAGGCCTAGTCTCCTTTGTAGATTTTCTGTTTCAACTGTTTTCATTCTATTCTTGCATATTTTCTTTTCTGTAGGGATTTTAGTATTGACCTTTCTGACCTCATTAAAAGGGTTATTCATATTTTTATTGGGATTATGCGAAATTTATAAATTAACTGGCATCCTTAATGTTGCTATCCTGGCTAAAGCAAGGGATGTCTTTCCATTTGTTCAAGACTACTTTTGTGTCTTCAGGAATGTTTTAAATTTTTTTCCTGGCTGGGCATGGCCGGGATTACTCCTATAATCCCAGCACTTTGGGAGGCCAAGGGGAGTGGATCACCTGACAGGAGACCAGCCTGGCCAACACTGTGAAACCCTGTCTCTACTAAAAATACAAAATTATCTGGGTGTGGTGGCAGGGGCCTGTAATCCCAGCTACTCAGGAGGCCGAGGCAAGAGAATTACTTGAACCTGTGAGGCAGAAGTTGCAGTGAGCCAAGATCATGCCATTGCACTCCAGCCAGCTTGACAGAGTGAGACTTTGTCTCCAAAAAAAAAAAAAAAAAATATAGATTTTGCTTGTTGATAAATTTATTCCCAAATATTTAGTCTTCTTTTGTTACTGTCAAATTTTCTCTGCCATTTTATCTTCTAAATGGCCATTGTTTGTGTGTGCGAAACTTGCATTTTGTTGCTTACCATAAATGTATACAATTTTGTCAATTTGAAAACTTATATTGCAGATTTCTACCTATTCATCATATATGCCAATAACACTGGTTTATCTTATTGTCTGAGTTAGCTTTGTTATTTACTTTTTAGGGTTTTCCAGATATACTATCTGTGTTATTATTTTTTAGAGATATTTGGGTTTTGTCTTTGGTTTCTGGCACACAATTCCTGAAACTTTTGGAATCTCCAGAGTGAAAAAGAGTGTCTTTTGTACAATAATGAGATGTTTCTTTTGATTAGGACCCCCTAGATTAGCTTCAGTATTGGGAAAAACCAAGGCATAATTAAAGGGTTAGAACTTAAGACTATTCTTTCACCACAAATGGTTTTGACACGCTTGTTTAAAATCAACTGAC